TCCTTTGACAATGACCGATGGACAGATTGTTACATCTAACGGTTCTGATATCTGCGATCTTTTTGCTAACCATTTTGCAACTGTATATACGACTGACAAAGACACAGAGATTAACTGCCATACAAATTATCTTCAGGCACTGCTTAATAATAGTCAGAATTTAGGTATTCCAGTAATCAAACGCGACTGTCTACTAAAAAAACTAAAAACGGTAAAAATTACAAAAGGGTCTGGCCCGGATGGCATCCCACCTGTTTTTATTTCTAATTGTGCCACAGCTCTAGTGTCTCCTTTACTAATAATTTATAATACATCACTGGCTACTGGAATTTTTCCATCAGAATGGAAAAATGCCAAGGTAGTCCCAGTGCATAAGTCAGATAAAAAAGATAACGTAGGTAACTACAGGCCAATTTCAATTCTATCCACATTCGCAAAGATTTTCGAATCCATTATATGTCCGTATATTCAGCAACATCTGAGATTGTATCTTAATGATAATCAACACGGTTTTGTGGCATCTAGGTCTACAGCCACGAATTTAGTGTCATTCACAGAGTCCCTGGACCAGGCTGTAGATGAGGGCAAACAATTTGACGTGTTATATACCGACTTCAGTAAGGCATTCGATAAAATGCCACATTCTATACTGATTTATAAACTCGCAGCCTATGGTATAACAGGACCTTTATTGGGTTGGTTCAAATCCTATCTGACTGAACGCGAATTCTTTGTCGTTGTAAACGGTTTTCGATCGGCTGCACACAAAATAACATCAGGCGCCCCCCAAGGATCTCATTTAGCACCAATACTATTTAATATGTTCATTAATGATCTTCCCGAGTGTCTTTGTTTCTCCGAACCTTTTCTGTATGCCGATGACTTAAAGTTTGCGCGAGTAATAGAGTCTGAAAGAGACCGTGATCTTTTGCAACACGATCTTAACCAAGTTATAAAATGGTGCCAGAATAATAAAATGCTATTGAATCCTAAGAAATGTTACCATGTTAAATATACGCGTAAAATTAACTTTATCAATACAAAATACTTTATAGGCCAGGAGCAAGTTCAAGAAGTCGAAATAATAAGGGATCTCGGAGTATACTTTGACAAAAGGGTCACGTTTTTGCCTCACATTGAAAACATTATCAAAAAGTCATCAAAAATGCTAGGTTTCTTGCTTCGTAACACTAAAGGCTTCCGTAGAAGCTGCACCAAGATAATGTTATACAACAGTCTCGTTCGCAGTGTTATGGAGTATTGTAGTGTTGTGTGGAGACCTCACTATGCCACTCACATGTTGCGTCTAGAAAGGATACAGAAACGTTTTGCGTGGCATTTAGCCTTTAATGAGGGGAAGTCTAAGCGTCTGCCTTCTTACAAGGCCCGCCTGTGTCATTTCAAAATGCAATCGTTATCAATGCGACGAGATACAATGGATGCTTTATTTATTTACAAACTGTTGCACAATGAGATCGACTGCCCCAGTTTAGTAAAGCTTATTAGGTTCCGTGCGCCCTCTAGATATTCCAGGAACAAAATAACACCCCTGTGTCCACCACTTCGAAAGTCTGTGCTTGGTGCGAATTCTCCAATATCTAGATTTTGCAAGATCATCAATGGCCACAGTGACTCTGTAGATGTGCATCACGATAGTGTTTATAAATTTCTACGAGCTTTTGTAAACAACCCAATGCAAATCTAAACGTGAATTAATTTTATACATGTTTTCAGGTATTTTGTATTGTAATCCCGCCTATTCTGCTCTTTGATATTTTTATTTTTTCATAATCATTTTAATTTAATTTAATCAATCATGAATTATTATAGTATTGAATGTATTGTTAATCTATTGTTACTTTATTTTAATTTTTTTTTTTATTATGTATCTATATTGATATCGAATTGTTATAGGTGGGTTATTTGAACCGTTTTCTTGTGCATGTGGTGTTAACCTTTAATTAATTGTTGCACTTGTAAATGTTACACCAATCATTAACTTACAATAAATGTATAAGTGTAAACAATTGTTGGTTAACCTAAATAAATAAATAAATATTTCAATGTAAATAAAGCTGAAAATGTAGTAGTTAAGTTTTGATAGATTGGGGTAGCTTGATTAGCGGCTGTTTTTTAAATAAAACGGTGCTGATGAATGTTATTTTTGAAACTTCTTTTTGTAACAATTTATGCATTAGTGTTAGTTAATAACAAAAGTAATTTTTTATGGTAAGATACTAGGTAATTTGTACAATAAAAATTTAGAAATAATTATCCCTGTGTGTAACAGACTGATAGACCACTATTCTATTTTGACGTTTTAAAAGTAACTATTTATGGTTTAGTTGGAATAAATGATTTTGATTTGATTTGATTTGTCATATTTGAAATAATAATCACAGATTTGGAAGCGGTTTTTAATAGACAGAGTGATTGAAGAGAAAGGTTCTTATGGGTAATAACAGCCATTAAATAGTGGAGAAATTGAGTGTATTAGCATTGCACCCGCTCGAAGCAGGGGCGTGTCATCAGGGATGTAAATACCTATATAACAGGTTTCAAAACTTTTAATAAAATTTAATCGTTATGTTTACGGGTTAGTGCTAATTAATCGAATATATCTCATGACACTTACATACTTGGTTATTAACCTATACAAAACTAATGTAAAATCCTAATGTGTCATTAGCAATTTAAATCTCAATGCAAATATGACCTTTATGGTTGCAGCTAAAACTAAAATAATCACAAATTTTAATATTCAAACTAATTACACAGATTAAACTCATCCAATCAAGTGAAGGTAACGTTTTCGTAACATCCTGTTTTCATAATATAACACAGTTTTAAAGGAAATTATGAAACAAGCATGTAGTACCTATAATATATGTAGAACTTGTACGATAACCTAATCAGTAAAATTTTGTTAATGGAATTTCAACCTTAAGACAGGCATTGGCATTAAAGAATTTGGCCTGAGTTTAGCTTGATGTGCTAACCTGTATATAAAATATAGAGTTGCTTGATGCAAGGTAACGAGTTCGTTTTGTTTCAGAAAAGTTATATTAGTCTAACTTTAAACTAAATTTTTACCTGTTACCAATAATAGTTTTATGAATGAGGAAGTGTGGATGGATTGATGTTAGATTTTGCATGACTTAGCAAAGCAATACGTAATTCCTGATGATAAGCCATCGGCACACCTGAAATTAAAGGAATTACGAGTGCGTTGCCAGCAATTTGGGGATTAGAGTTTTGGGTAGTTAAGGATTGGGGGAGGGGTATTGGGTCTGCGGTAAACCTCAACACTCGGCGAAACACAGCGCTTTACAACGTCACGCATTAACGCAAAAATATTCCGAACCAGCTAGTCTTGTGCGGTTTCACCCGCTGATTGGCTGCATTTAATCGCAGCATGATATTTTATAGCCACATATAGCCGCACATAGCACTCAGGAACATTGCAGCTATCTATCTGTGCAAAATTGTGAAATTTAGCAATCCGACTAGCGGTTCCAAAGATTACCCCCTACATACAAACTTACAAACATAAAAATTTACAAATTTTATAATATTAGTAGGTATAGTAGATTAATTTTGATGAAAATTGGTAGAAAGATAAAGTTTGCAATAACAATAGGCCACTTTTCATAAAGAAACTAGTGTTTTATTCATCTGAAACAAAGAGGGCCAGCCTGTTGTCCTATACTAGCCCAGATACCAAACAATGTCTTACCACTATGAAGTATAAAGTCGCTTTCTATATCCCTATGTATGCTTAAATCTTTAAAATAACGCAAGTGTTTTTGATGCTGTTTTTTAATTGATATAGTAATTGAAGGGTGGATTTTTTATGTATGGAGAAATTTAGTATCAGCATTATACGCTAGCGAAACCAGGTCATGTCACAAGACAATAATTATTTTCGAAAAATTGCTATTAAGTATTCCTTAATTCTACCCATTAATTTAATCCAGAGTTTCTTGTTCGTTAGTCGTTCATACGAACACTACCAACTAAGTTGTCGTTACATAGAGATGATGTATGTTAGTATGTATGTAGGTACATCCTTAATTTATTAAACTCAATTACTAGATGAGTCTCATCCTCTGATTAAGTGAGTTACAGTTGTGTCAACCGGTGCCTAGCTTAGCTGCTCTTGTTGGTTTTGGTATTAAAATACAACATTACACTACGGAATATTATTCTTTTTTTGGATGTTTCTATACTGTAGGTATTTCGTTGAAGTAGAATAAATGTTGTTTTGTTTTTTTCTTTTTGACTACCAGAATGATATTGTTATCATCTAGTTTTTGCCAACAGCTTTGTCCAGAGCACCAGGGAAAGGTTAAGCTACCTTTAGTCTGAAATATAACATTGCAGACTATGCATAATTTTCCATTCAGATTTATTCATCTAAACATACTTACGAACTTTCGCATTTATTATTAGTCGAATTTTGTTATATGTTTTTATATCATAGAGCATGGCATCCATGTCTCTATTGCCTTACAGTCGTAAGATATTTCTTTTTAGTCAATAGTAATGAAATTGTTCATGGGAATAAAAAAATAGTTTTAAAGAAAACATGTACATAGCCTGTAATATCCGAGTGAACAGAATATTAAGCCAACAAATATCCATCTTAATACAGAAAACATTAATACTACTTCATTTATGAGATCCTTAACAAGGCGCTAGACCATAAAAGGCTATATTCATAAATCTACTGAAATCATAACATGTTTAATGCCTTTGAGTGTCTCATAAAGTACCATGTCCATACAAGGACCAATTATAATATACATTTTTAATAGTCGTCAGCCAGTCTATTTAGAACAATCGTTAAGTTTCATTGTAGAGGCAGCAGGACAACCTAATCTTACCTTTTTCAAAGAATCTTCGGCTTTATACCAAAAGTTTAAAATTTAAAATCGAATACATTTGGTTGACCAGAGTGTGTAGGTTGACTTGCTGGCAACTGTACTTACACATCAATTATGTGTTTGAAAAGTAAGTGAAATAAACAAGACGAAATAGTTTGTGACAACTAGTTGCCGCACGCATAGCCGATTAATTTCGTTTTCCCCTTTTTGAAAGGAGTTACTACAAGTGCTTTGCTGGCCTCCTATAGATTATTAGGGATTTGAGGATTGAAGCTGCAGAGGGTAAGGATTGGGCCCCCAGTTGGGTTCACACATTTGTGGAAACACAGCGTTAGTATTGGTTCATGCCGGTATTCTATAGGGCCATGGTATTATTCCGGTGGTAAAGACCCGTTCTTGCTAAAGCATGCCTCTCCCAGCCAATTTTAATTTACAGAATCTTCTTTCTTTTTAACCGACTTCCAAAAAGGAAAACGGTTCTCAATTCGACCGTTATATTATATATATATATTATATATGTTTTTTTTTTTCAAATATGCATTAACTTGCAAACACTAAAAACGAATCTATTGATATTGCGTGTGTATGTATGTATACAACACATGGTTTAGCAAATGAATTTGATTTGATTTGGTTGGATATACGTCATGTACATATATTTATAATTTATGTTGAGACCCAGTCACCATTCTGCCAGTATGCGCACACCCTATGTTTGTGGCAACTACGAGTCCGATTATGACGCGTCGTTGATCTCTGCGTGAAACCGAGCGTTTGTTATTGACAGGTAGTTTACGATATGTTATCGAATTCAATAAACTTTATACAAAGATTATAGTTACATGTTATTATAGGCGCCCTCCAGCTAGGTGGACTGACGACATCTACAGGGTGGCTGGCAGTGGTTGGATGATAAGAGCTGAACATCGAGCAATTGGGGAGGCCTATGTCTAGCAATGAACGAAATCAGGTTGATGATGATGATGATGATGATGATGATGATGATGATGATGTGCCTGCACTTAGATGGATTGAAGTATCTCTTTATTTATACTGCAAAAATTATAAATAATTATTACAGCATTTGAATTCAGTTGTTGACATACGTATGTTACTAATATTTTTTATGAAGTAAACGGATCACCTGATGTTAAGCTATCGGCGTCGTCCATGAAAATCTGCGTAACCAGATGAGACCAGTTACTAATACGTTGTCGGCCTGACCGTGAAATCACTCCGATTTAGCAAGTTTATCGTGCAAAGAAGCATGACTCTCCCACACAATGAAAATAAATGAAAGTATCAAAGTAACATATTTAAAGTGTGGAAGAGCCATGCTTCGGCACGAATGGGTCGGCTTGACCGGAGTGATACCACGGACTCATACAATCAGCCGGGGTTGCGGCGTAAGCGCAATGAGGCACCGCGACCTCGGCCGAGAGCAGGAGAAGAAACAGGGGGGTTTTTAGTCAGTAAGAGTCTGACACTCCCTCCCGCCCCGCCCTGGGCGGGAGAAGTCATTTGATGATTTTCCCCTCACAAAAAACAAAAAAAAACGGCCTCATAGAAAACCGGCGTGAAACAACTACAGTGTTGTGTTTTGCCTTGTGAGTGAGGTTACCGGAGGCCCAATCTAATAGGAATCTCCCTAAATCTCCAAAATGTCGGCAGCGAACTCGTTACTCCTCTGTTGTTGCGGGTTTCTTTAGGCTGATTGCTTACCATTAGATAATCCGTATGCTCGTTTGCGGTCGGGAGCTTATAAAAAAAAACAGAAACAAGAAGTTTTTTGCTACCTAATTCATATTTAACCGTTCGACCCCACGTTTCTAATTGCACAATTCATCAAAGCCTTCAAATAATAAGTATTCATACATTTTAACTGCCAGCATCATGCACCATGAATCATCAGAGGCACCGTTGATTACAGTATTTTCTAGTCTATTTTCATAGCGCAGATACGCGCACTTAAATATTTATGATGTTAGTTAAAAACAAGCAGTAGCACCGTCTGGCCTATGCGATGTTATCTCAACTATTTATCAACGAAAAGACAGCTACTGTAGGGCTCAACGCACGCTTTGAAACACCGACATAATATGGATGCTAAAATGTTTGGGATTTTTATGATCTAATTGATACTTAAATGTATTTCTTATTGTTTAGTTTTTTATACATAACTCGCTTTTTGATTCGGAAATGTTTATTTATTTATTTATTACACTCTGAAGGACTTACAGCTTAATCTAACTAAAAATAGAAGCCAACATAAACTACGGAACTCTTATTATAAGTTCTTACGTATAGCTACAGACTTAAAATTAAGAAGTGAGCATGTCAATATTTTCACAGTGATTATAGCTTATTAAATGTGGTTAATATTAGTTATTTGACTGTAGCGTTGAAGATTTTTCTAGAATTCGACTCCATAACTTGAAGCAAACTAAATATAGATCTTCGGTATTAGTTTACGCTGACCTATTATATATACAAAGTGAAATTTGTATGTATATCGATATAAGTTATTTAAACACATATTGATTGCATTCAATAATTTCACTATACTATTGTTTAGTGAATAGCTATAAGTACCAACAAAGAGTAACCATGGAGTTTCTTGCTCGTTCTTCTCCATCGGAATCTACACTTTGGAACGAGCGAATAGCTTCACTAAGAGGACTGACCGACAGACTGACACTTTGTATCTTTAAAGTTGTGTTGACGTTCAAAAGTGCCTGTATGGGTCTAATTGAAATAAATAATTTTGACTTTGACTTTGACTTTGACTACCTTTTAGTTCATATCAAAACATTAATGTTACCTCTTTGTTGCAGACCCGGAACACACCACAAAAGAAACAAGGCCAGAATACATCCACCCTGATGGTCTACTAAACTTTGATCCATATCTATCGGACTTCAAAACAGAAGCAGAAGAAGAAGACGACTATATACCGTTACCAGAAAACGAAGAAACAATAGATGGTCGTCCTATTTTTCTTTTAGAACCCAAAAATTCATACGTTCTACGAAATAGACCCGCAAATTTGCTCTGTCGGGCAGCAAATGCCCTCGAAGTGTATTTCAAGTGCAATGATGTGAGGTCTGATAAAAGTGTTCAGTTGGAACATGTGGACCCTCATAATGGAGTCAGGGTTGTTGAAGCAGAACTCAATGTGACGAGAAATGAGCTTGACGGAGCCAATAAAAAGTATAGTTGCAAATGTTACGCGTGGAACAGTAAGGGCAAGATACGGAGTCAGTCTGTTTTAATTGAATTTGCTTGTGAGTATCTTTATTGACATTTATAATTATTTATATGATTTTTTATAGCTAGTGTGTAATTGAAACATGAAATGCAGCTTTAAGATAAAAATAATTGACATAGCTGCAACAAGTTTGCAACAAGTTTCACTTCAAACATTAAATTCAACTATAACGTACAAAAATACTTTATAAGATTTCAACAGGGCTCTATGAATATTATAGCATTTCATCCTTGATTTCACCTTGTTTTTAATGGACTTGAATACATTTACAATGTCGTTTGGGGATTTTCTTCACCAAAAATGCGTTTCCTAGCCAACTGGGTCTTCGTGCCAAGCTAGTTTTCCAAACTTTAAAACTTCACAGCTTTGTTTCCCAACTTTCAACTTTAAGAGCCAGTTAAAAAGTGTCGTCTATTTAAAAATGTAGTTGCAGAAGAATAATGAACTATGTATATAAAATGAAAGAACCACTTATGAAGTTACGAATCCAAGTTTACCCTATAATTATAATAGATAATGTAATTAAAAATCTTAAACTCATGAATAAAGCAATTAAAGGTAACCGAAAGAGTTTAAATTATTAATAGCTGACGATCCAACGCCAAATGTGGGTGGAACAAGTGGTATTATTTTATTAACATCTGTGGCGAATTTTAACGTGGTATCGGACATTTTAATTTTCATATGTACTGTTGTCTAAGATCTGCCTAAGTGTTATATTGTGTTGTCATCTTCAATTTTCCATTTGATGCCATTTATTTGTTTTATAACTTTAAATTTAGATTCATTTAATAATTAATACATCAGTTTTACATCAGTTGTAGTTAAACATGTTGATACAACCAATTAGTACTGTACTATCTATTATAAACTAAGCATAATTTTTGGCATGTATTATTATACAGCATTACCTTTACAGTACTTACATACATTATGGCAAATGAAAGGATCTTTATCTTCAGACTAGGTGTGACCCACGATTTTATCTAATATGATAAATTAAATCTTTCTCTTTAAAAATATTCTGTTATTATTATATAGTATAGATAGATCACATTAAACGTAACTTACGCTCCGGACAGTTTCCATTGAAATAAACTTTATTTTCTATCAACGTTAAAACAATAGTTTAGAACCCCATAACTATGATTGATTAGAGTTCTATTGTAACAGTGTGTTTAGTTTATCTTTCCAAACGTTTACCGTTACCGTTTCAAGCCCATTCTCATAAATATTCCAACCCAACAGGTAAAATTAAAAAGTTTACGATCATCGCAACTGGATCTTAAAGCCGAGCCGCGATCCGTTTTGTTTTCATTAATATCTATTTTGTTTAAGTTAATAGTTTCCGTTGCTTAACGATGTTCCCTTTCATACTTATTAACATTCAAATGTTTCTATTATTTAGTAAATGAAACGCTTGGAGCGGTTTTTGGATCAACTGATCAACTTTTTTTTTGTAAATTATGCTAATGAGCCGGTAAATCAATTTTTAAAAATGTTCTAGTATTGATTGTTATGGTCTAATCTTAAAGCCGCGGGCAGTTCTCCTATAGTACAAAGCAATAAAATTCAGTTCATTAATGGAAAAACATTGAATATCCTTTTTCTATCCATTGAGTACAGCGATAAAAAACATCCAACCATGAAATACTTTCACCATTACTTATATACAAATACAGTCGTCCCGAGATTCTCGCCAACTACACGTTTATAATTGTATAAAGATAATGTTCTGAAAAATCAATTATAAAACCGATAAGCACACAGAACCTGCTCTTACCAGTAAATGAGCATCATCTCTGTCAATATTTTCGATATAAAATTCAAAGAACACGAAGGCACGCCACCGTGCAAGTAATTTAATTCAATTTACCATACTTAGCCTTATGCAGCGAACTGAATTCTAAGCGGTCACACTAGTTGTGTCACAAAACACCCGTATAACAGTATCGTCTTAGGTTTACAGGACAGGTTGCGTCGCTTTATAGTACTTAAACTTGTTTGTGTCTCTTCGTACCAGCACTTGTTTCATACATTTTATCACTATGGTCATTATAGAAATCTTTGTATAGCTCCGTTCCAGCTAGTTCACTGACATACACATTGGAAGAAATATGATGATTGGTTGTGAAATTATCATTGTTATATAGTAATTGAAATTTGTCGTTTCCCTAGTAGATTATAATACAATATTCAATTTGGTCGAACCACAGTCTAACGATGTTCATTCGTCATAACTTCGTAATTAAATCTTGACAGTTCACAAAAGAAAAACGAAACGTATAAATTGTAACAATAAGGAGAAAGATAAAAATAAAATGGAGTGCAGACAATTAAGAGGACCGCCCATTGTCTAGAAATAAACACCCCACACCACGAGTCGACACGCTATGTTAACGAAAGAAATAATCAACAAAATGACAATTCTGAAAAGTTGGAATATTTAAACGAGTTTATAGCTAATAGTGATATGGGATGTGGAGATGTGTAGGTTATGGGGCTTAGAAAGGAAGGTGAAGAAAACACGATTTTACAAGTATTTTGTAAAAATCTATTGTAAAGATTTTTAGACTACAAATTGTTAAAGCGAATCGTTTCCAAACCAATAACATGAGCGAAAGTTTTACGGAAAAAAGAAAGTATTCAAAACATTCTGGGAAAAAAGCGACTTGGAAATAGTTTGTCACCCCCAGTAACAGTCGAACTTACTTTTAATTCTCAGACTGTTTTGTATCGAAAAACTCAACTTTTAACGATACAAACTCCGAGAGAGGTGTCCAAAAATTTTTTACGACTATTTTTATCTTCATCCCTCGTTTTTTAAGAGGGTGGGTAGCGGAACCATTATATGGAGGAAACATTATTTCCGCTCGTTAACTCGAGCACTTTGCACTTTGATGAATGCTCACTAGCTTTCTATTTGTGATTCGAGGGTGGATCGGCGTTTGTTCTAGTGAAAGTTTCGAAAGAAAGTGGTTCGTCAGTTTTCTATTTGTTAATGATTTCACTTTGCATGTAAATGCATGAAATGCGCAACTCCGTGGTTTTCATGCTTAATTTAGTAGCTAGCGGTTCTCTCTCATTTATTGAGTGATGAGTGTGTAAGATCTGATCTTCTTCAATCGTATTTTTCAAAACTAAACCATCAGTTGGTGGATAAATCAATTCACCGCTTTACAATTCCTCATTCATCGGTTTCGTGTCTTTGGGAATGTTTTTGGTTGACCATCTTTATGGTAAATTTATTTCTAGATATAAAGAAACAATTTCTTCAACAACCTCTATCTGCAACAATAGAAGCTGGTAGAGGAGTGACATTCAGATGTGTGCCACCACCTGCAGCCCCACCGCCTACCATCAAATGGACCAGAAATGGAGTTTCTATTGAACCTACTGTTGAAACACTTGTTCTGCCAAAAGTTAGTTTGCAGGTAATGGACAAATTCATTGGTATTTTTTATTTAAAACTGGCACTTAAGTAATGAGATTGTGTAATAAGTTGTCCTTACGTTTATAATCATCGTAAGTAACTATTAGTTATTATGAAAATGGCTTCTAATAATTTGTTTGATTACGTAATGTGCAGGATATGGCGAACTACACTTGTGTGGCAGAAAACATCGCGGGTCGGCGGGAGTCCGACGTCGCTGTTTTGTCTGTGTACGGTATGTTGACATAACTTTTATATTATTCGCTATTATAGTCCGTTGAGCCATTGGTGATCTAACTTGATATGTATTATGTTATTCAATTAATGGTAAAATTTATTATATAACATGTCTTTTATTTCAAGAAAGAGGCAATATAAGGCAATCTTCTAAACATCTGAGTACTATGATTTCATTGTTACACTTTTTTACAGTAAATGGTGGGTGGTCGGAATGGTCACCTTGGGCACCATGTCGATGTGGTTCCACCACGAGTGGCCGTCGTCGGTCACGCAGTTGCACTGAGCCACCCCCAGCAAATGGTGGAGCACCATGCAGAGGACACTCTTCACAAAGCGATGAAGACTGTGTCACGTGTCAAAATAGTAAGTAAAGACAACGTAGTGAACGAAAATACAAAGCACATTTTGCAAAAAAAAAAATGGAAATTGAGTTCAGTGGTGTTCTATTAGAGTTCAGTGTTCAAGAGCAAACGACGATGACAATGTTGATAGTTGAATAAATCCTTCTTTAGGTGGCACCTGGTCTGCCTGGGCCTCATGGTCTTCATGCAGCGTTGACTGCGTGAGAGTAAGGAGAAGACAATGCTCAGGAAACAACTGCCAAGGATCCACGCTGCAACATGCTGCCTGTGTTGACGGATTATGTACTAGTGGGATGAGTAAGGAGCATTTGTTTTGTGTTTATTTTTAGTATAACTTAGATAACCTTATCTTAATTGCAAAGTGATGTTGGTAGTTTCAACACATCTAGTGTTAAAACATGAATACATAATTTAATCATTTATAGTCATTCTATCCAATAAACAATTCAAATTCGGGTTCTGACTTGAAGCATTCACTTGTAGCTTCTTATCTTGTTTATCCGTGTCTTAAGATTTTTCTTTCTTTTCTTAGGGTTCTACACCAACTACACGACCCTATACGTTGGTATTGGCATCACAGTCGCTATGCTTCTCGCTGGAGTAGCCATCTTATATGTCTGGTGCAAATATAGAGGCAGACCTGGATATTCTTCAGGCAGGATAGGTAACATCTTCAATTTTATTATTGTAGCATCTTCACAATAAAGCATTGTGCCTTTATCGCTGAGTTTTTATGCACTTAATTTAATTATCATTCGTTTTCAAGGCGTTGACAAAGTGCACATTTAGTAATGTGCTTTCCCATATCTATAAGCTATTCGTACACTTAGGTATACCAAAGACACATTCAGGCAGGGACAAAGGCAGCACGGCGCCCGACCTGACGAGGACCTGCAACGAATACTGGATGCAGGGACCTGACAACCATTATGACATGCCACATGTCAGAGACAGGTTAGTTCTAATACGTACAAATTTAATATACAAAAAAGAGTTCCATATACTTAAGAAACATATTAAGACTTCGGTCATGTCACATTCGATCTTGCAAAAGTAAAATAAACTTCCCCATGTGCAACCTAAGTATCCATCTCGATTCATATCCACCCATAATCGTCCAAGAATTCAAATATTATTGCGCAATCCATTTTTATCGCTTGGGTTTTGGTCTAATACTTTCCCTTCAATAATACCTAAAGGCGTAAGTTCTGTTCCTCTAAAAGAAAAAAGATCGTAACATAAAAATTGATGTTATGAGATATTGTTGTTTGTATAGTAATAAGTTTTCACATCCATTTGGTTTATGCGCCATTATTCTTCCACCCCTAGCTATTCATCCCCATTTGGGAACCGGAGTAGACATCAGTCGTCAGCCGGAAGTAACCATTACGAGATGAAGCCTTACAGCCCTTCCGGGGACTCGGCGTCCAGTTGTTATACCAACTGTAAGTATATTTACACATAATAGAAAAGAAATATATCAAAATCATTCAACAGTCCTGTTAATCAAAATAGGTAATTTAGCTGCATTCTTGAGAGAAATCTTATCTTCAAGTCCAACTTAACGGTTTTTAAAAACCCTTTTTTATAAAAAGTAATATTTACCTGCGTTTCTAAAAGGTGGTAACTCGATACTTCTTAATGCAGCTGCTTATTTGACGTCTCAAATATTAAGGCCCTTTCTTAATGCATTGGACTTTTGTTTATTATTACTATTACATTCATTTTAAAGGTATCTTAGCCTTATTTTGTGCTAGTTGAAGTAGTATTAGCCATCTTTTTAATCTTCACAAATGAACATACATCTTAGCTGTAACGTGTTAAACAAATGCAGATTGATTTTTTAGAAATAAGGTATAGAGGTTTAGCTAAAACAATATATTTATTGACTGTGAATGAATTTCTACCTTTCTTACTTCAAATTTTCTTGCAGCGAGAACAATGACGTCCCGGTCTAGTGAGTGTTCATCTCAACTTGCAGAGCTTGTAACAGCATCACCAACCTCCATGTCAAAGGTAGATGTAGCGGTGACATTACCTACAGGACATATAGACACCAGCTATAGAGACAAAATTTGTTTGACTATTGTCAAGTAATTTGTGTTATGTTGTTTTGGAAACTGTACAATAGTCGTCAAGGAATTTTGGTCTTTGAGAAATGTTATGTTAAACTATGGTTTTTTTAATCAGATGATGGTCTTTATAGATTCTTGCATTTAGTAAAGATTCTGGTCTCTCCTAACTATTAAATGTCGTTAAGAACTTATTTGCTAACCAGTTTTTATAAAAATTCCAGTTTCCATCTATTTTTAAATAGTCTTGTATGCCTTTAACATTTTAAAAGGCGATGTCTTCAGTCGGAACAGAACCAGAATTATGCAACCCTTGGTGTGCAATTATGTGCATCCGTACAGCTATTAACATATCTAATTTAATCATGATGCAAATATTAGTGGATATCTTTTTAAAATACATTTATGGAATTATTTTAAACGAAGGTATGAAGAAAATGACATATATTTGCTTGTGTTATTTATATATTATTTTTTTCTTTGTGGATATTTTTAGAAATTAAATTTCGTATTTTATTCATATTTATTCGAAATCAATGTATTATTTTATTAAGTTTATAAATTGGTACGGGTATTAAAATAGTTTTTGGACTGCGTTTTAAATAATCAATACCTATCAAAATCTTTTCGCCCTAATTTAAATAAAAACAGAATATATTCTGTTATGAAAACAATAATTTCATTTAAAAGACTGACTGCATTACAATGAAACTACTGCCAATTTGATACGCATTTACGATTATTGTTTTGTTATTATTAAGCTTTTTATATTCGAATAATCACGTATTCAATGAAAATATTAATTTATTCGTAGTGATAGGTACTGTAAAAAGTGCTGCTTAACTAGTGATTAAATTTTGATATTAATCGTACCTATATTTAGGAAAATGATTGTTAAAATTTTATTTAGGTTTCCGTCATTCTTTGATGAATACATATGTGGCTTTAGCAAAAGTGTTAACTGGGAATAAATGGGAGTAACATTGTGTTTTGAATGTACTGTTGTAAATTAATGTTTTCTTTACCGCTTCCAGGTGGTTAGTCCACCCACACACACGAAGCGATTCGCCTCAATTTTAATAATTACAACTACAAAGGAGTGGAATTCTTTGCCGGAGTCTATGTTCCCTCAAGGGTATAACCCGGACGTCTTCAAGGCTCGAATGAATAGGTTACTTATGGGTTCGGTAGGCGTCATCCATTGTAGGTCACATCATCGCTTATCATCAGGCGAGATACTGTTCAAAGGTCGGCCTATCTTATATATAAAAATGGATCGCAAAATATGTTATTAAACGCATAACTCAACAACGCCTGAACCAATTTTGCTAATTCATTTTTTGTTGTGTTTGTTATTGTCAAGAGACGGTTCTTATCAAAGAAAATATTCGAAAAGTAGAGGGGAAGATTAGGAAAAAGTAACCCTTTGATAGCGAGATAGTTGGACCTGTGCGAAGCGGGGGCGGGTCGCTAGTTACAAATAAAAATAAAATCTACGAAATTTAAAACATAAAAATTGGTCTCATTTTTCATAGTTAGAATAAAACTGACCAGAAAGGGTATTTAAGACCTTAAAACACTTCGAATTCTATTTGGAAACAGAAGCGTGATTTTTCTAACTCGATAGGGATTCAGAAACCTAATATTTCAAAAGCTACTCGATTTTCGTAGCGTGAATTTTAGTTTTTAGTTTTTCTTTTTTTACATGGCGCCCTGGGAGTATGTTAGTAGTGCCTAATGGAAGCTTCTCTCTTTTCGAAGCTGTAATAATAAAATAGTGACGTCACAACTGTAATATTTTTATTGAATACGTTAGTTTTTGGTGTAAGTTAACATGTAGATACTAACCGAATGTAAATTTTGTATTTAAATCTGTGATATTAAATAAATTAATTTGTAACATTTATTTTGTTGTTTTTTTTATCTAATATTATTATGTTCTCTCTTATGTGGGAGACGGGAGACCCATGCTTTGGCGGGAATGGGTCGTCTCAACCGGGGCTTCACAGAAAACCGGCGTGAAATCAACCGCAGTCTTTTGTTTCGCCGTGTGAGTAAGGTTACCAGAAACCCGATGATTCTTCTCCTCCCATCCTTCCCCGATCTCAAAATTTCCGAAACCCAAAAGGCAACGCATTCGGTACTTCACTGATGTCCATGGTGGCGCCAGTTGCTTATCATTATGTAATCCGTCTGCTCTTCTCAGAACGCATTTCACATTAAATGTAGTGGAGTAATTAAGGAGGAGGAGGAGGAGGTTCAAAGCCTGCCCATATCCACTGCCATTGGATAGTGGTCAGTTTTTTACATTCTGGGTAAGTTCGGCAGAAATTCCTTCGAATCTTTAATTGACCCGTAACATACACCGATTTTACTAAAAGCTATAGAACGATTTAAGTATTTTTGAAAATATTAATTGCAAGTTGTATTTTTATACAACTTACAACTAATGATTATTATATACACCATGCGACTTGCAACTACGCGACTCAACGATACATTCCCAAGAGTATCGTGTTACTATGATAAATAATAGATGCCTTAAACAGCAGCTTCAGTAGTACTTAGTAATTTTGGTGAATTAGTTAAGTAGATGAGAGAATTAGATGGGCACAGGGGTGGTTGGACACAGCACAGGGAAAAATCTTAGTACTGGTTGATATTTGGAATGGTGACCTGTGGCTACTATTGTGAAAGTAAGAGACTTTAATAGACAAGACAGCTGTCCTGTCATATTTGCGGCCTAACACGTAGCAGGAGAAAGAACAGTGTGGTTTTTACAAAGTAAGAGTTTGACATTCCCTATCATTCCATTTAGGGTAGGAGAAAGTATTTGATATTTTTTCTTAAAAAATTATAACGAAGACTAGATAGCTGACTTTTGGCTTGATTGGCTACTTTTTGTAGATGCAACATATTTTTTTTATTACATAGAACAAAATAGTTACATATTCGTAAATTAACACCTACAATTATCTACTACGTGGCAAACATACAACTCGCTATTGTTCCCAAATTGACAAGTAAACCAATATATCCGTCCCCGTATACAGTTAAGTGAAAGATCAGATGCAATCAGCAAATTGATGTAACGAATTCACATTGTCCTGAGTGGTGGCGAAGGCCGAGAATTAGGTAAGTATAAATTTTATTTATTTTAATAGATGCTTCTTTCGTGCGGTTTCACCCGCTGCTCCTACAGATCATAGCGTGATGTAATAAACCCAAAAATCTTCCTCGATAAATGATCTATTCAGCAAAAAATATTTTTTCAATTCAAACCACTATTAACTGATATTAGCGCGTTCAAATGAACAAACATACTCTTCAGCTTTATAATACTAGTTTAGATAATTACGGTACATACAGTACATGGCCCTTTCAGAGAATTAAATTCATATACATAATTTTATGTCTAGACATCTTCCCAGAAGTATCACATTACATTGAGAAACGCTAGATACGTTATCAATGAGCAGTATAGCTATAAGACTTATCATTGTGATCTTCAGCCTTGCACTATGAGGTTTGCCATTAGCAACACTTTGACCGCATCCATTCAACCGAGCCACTGTGGCACTAAGTACATACGGTAGCTAGCCTTAATGGCTGGATATTAATCGTACGTATCTAATTACTGCGGTGGAACTCAACGGGGTAGACTGGTCAGTGTATGAGGTTTGGCTGTTAAAGGTAAGTTCAGAAGTATCATCGTTGACGTTTTCAGTCGGAATAAGAATTATTTAATTTGCTCTTGTCATAGTTAAAAGGTGAAATTTTATCATTGAAGTCTTACGAATGAATGATTTTGTTTTAACAATAACATCAGCATCATCATTATCAACCTATACGTGCTCTCTGCTGAGCAAAGGCCTCTTCTCACACGGAAAAAAATTGAGCATTAATCACCGCGGTTGCTCGAGGCGGATTTGATCCAGGTTTCTTCACGATATTTCCTTCAGCACAAGTAGCAAGCAAGCAGTGGTATCTAAAGAAATTTGGAAAGTACAGATAACCAGAAAAAGTTATATTGGAACTTTCAAATTTCGGACCCCGTCCTCATGTATGAAAAGCAGACGCCTTAACCTCCAAGCCACCACGACTTTTTAGAACATACCAACTTCTTTTTCACACGCATAACAGTTTTTAAACACATATAACCTTACATAAACTTTACCTACACTTTTATTATTAGTCTATTATCGATATTATTAGTAGACTTTATTAGATTATGAATAAGGGTCAAAGTGGACTTACTGAACTTGCCAACTGCCCAATGTCCGCCTGCAGTATGATCGCATGTCCATATGTTTGTAACGTCAATAACCCCACCCAAGTGTTCGATTACTCAATAAAAATTAACCACTTAAAATTATGTTTAAAATGCTTTCAAATCATAGATAACAAGCATTAATAAAAATAGGGCGGTATTCGGTATTTATAACTCACGATTTGAAGATGTATGGCTGTGTAATAGTCAAAATATTTTTCAACGTTCATGCGTTTATTCATAGCTATTATAGACGTTATTGAGTGGGTTTCCCAGTCAGAATATAATAAAAAATATTAATTTAATACCTCCTCTGTAGACTGTAGGTAATTTGTATTGTGTAGGGTCTGCTTGACTGGAGTGACACCATGGCCTCACAGAAAACCGGCGTTATGTTTTGCCGTGTGAATGAGGTTGCCGTAGGTCAAATCCTTCCCCTTCCTCAATCCCTCAATCTGCAAAACCCCAAAAAGTCGGCAATGCACTCTTAACTCTGCTGTTGTTGCTTACCATCATATTTCTGCTCGTGTGGCGTCCTGTGTGTATAGTGACAACCAAACAATCACGTGATCAAAATAAATATTCAATAATCGTATCGTATCCGTCACGCGACGAATAAACTTACATCCTCTAAGCAATAATTCAAAGCTATTTTCGTGTGAGTCCATTTGTCAAATCGTATGACTAAAACAAGTTCAAAGTTTCTGTAACTGCTCACATTTGTCACTTTAAACTCACTAATTGGGACACTTTAAGTACCTCAGTGTTATAAACGGAGCTACTGATTTTTCACTTTTTAGACACCCCCTGTATTTATATACTTTTTGACTTATTTAATTGTTTGGGCTTTCTGAGAATTTTGTTTTTAGTGTTTGGTAATTGGATTTTAATTAGGTTTCTTGGTTTGAGTTGGGTCTTGTTTTTGAAAGATGTACTGCAATTAAGTATTAGTAATAGTAATTGGAATCTTTCTAATATTATAAATGTGAACAATGTATGGATGTATGTTTGTTATTTTTCACGTAAAAACGGATGTTCAAATTTGGTTGAAATTCGGTATGAAGTTAAGTGATATCTTGGATTATCACAAAGGCATAATATCACAAGTTTTATCGACAACGCGACCGAAACCGGCAACGGATATTAGTTCTTAATAAACACAATAACATTTTATTCCGCTAGTACTTTTCGATACAAATTTTCAGCGTTCTAGTCCAACCAAAAAAATAATAAATATGTCCTACAAATACAATACAGTTCATGTATTGTTAAAGGTACAAGGCGCCAAAAATTTTGAAAAATAACTGGCATAGTAACAACAAAAATCACACAATCTGACTCATCATAAAATTAACATAGATTCTGAAATACAAAAAGCAACATGAAATCATTTGTAAGTACTAGCCTTGCTACCAGGAGTTCAGAACATTCAAGAAGTTATGAGTAGCCCACTACTAACTATGATTCTTGGGAACAATGACTAATGCGAACAAAAATATCGCTTAGATAGCTATGACTAAGCAATTTTCTGAAGAAAAACAGGAAACGTTGTCGAATATTTTATTTACAAACATTGGGTTCTTCTTTGTTTTTCCACAGAAGCGATAGTATATGCCTATTTATTTCGTATGCACGTTATATTAGCTTACTCCCAATAATAATATAATTTCCGTATCGTGAAATGGTCTCAATACTTATTCATATTTAATATCTAGTCATAAATTCCTAAGTATTTATCTTTTAGGCCTGATTTTTCAATGCTTAGTTATAAGTAATTCTGAGGAATAAAATTGTTGCTGTCACTGTCTTACACAAACATTCTGACGCGACAGCATCATAATTATTCCCTAGGTAACGTTTATCTAACCATTGAAAAATCAGCCCTTAATAAATATAGATACGGTCAGCATAGAGCATACAAATAAGGAATTAAAATCGAAAATTATTGACGTTTAACACTGAAAATATATTATACCTACGCATTTTTTTAACTGTTTCGTATGAGAAAACAGTAATGACAAAATGAATTTAATTATAATATGAGTGCGATGTCGATATGATTGATGCGAAATTTATTGAGCCATGACGTCATACGACATTTTAAATTTTATTTAAAAGAAATTTAAAAAAAGTTTGAAACGAATCTAAAAGAAGAAAATATTTATAATATTTAATGATCATTCTTATTAACTTTTGCCGAAAGTCTTATTTATTTGAAAGTATAATAGCTATAAGTAATCACCATGGTAGACGTACATATCTAATGGAGACCGCTAATTAGTCAATCAGACAATTATGTCGCATGTGCGTGATTGCTGCTTCTGACACAGCCATCGATTCATTGAAACACAGATATACTCTAGTATCGATAGTACACATACAGGATATAATTTCGAACGAGGGACAAGGAGCCGATTCTGGTGAAAAAACGAAACCACTTCTCCTCTCGAAAAAAAAAAACTTTTTATGGAAAAATAAACTTATTTTTGAGATTCTATATTGGTGCCATTGAAAAATTGTTTTATATAAGCATCAGAATCAGGTCCTTGAATATATCCTACGTTCAAAATAACACCCTGTATTTGTAATGAAATTGTGAATTACAAGACTGAACTGAAAAGTTTTAAGATGTCAACTAGATGCTATCAGTTCTACTGATATGTATTGAATACAAATATACAAATATTCACATACACATAATACCCAGAGCTCCAGGACCAAAACGCGGCACCTTAATGCGCTTGCCACACAACCCGGGCTGTTCTTTGTGAAGTTGTTAATTCCGGAATATTTACTAGTTGTGAATTTTCAAAAACCGAAAACCTCTAGTTCTTTATGCCCTTGAAATCTTACTAAGCACTTACAAACATTCAATCACTATTATTATCAATTGGAATGAAAACTGCAAACTGCACAGTGGCTCCCCCTACCCTCCACTGTCGAGACAGACACCAACTGTTTGCTTACAACTACCCGCATATTCATTAAGTTAATTGTTCTGTCAGTTCGGGGAAACTATTACC